AAGCTGCTGTATTTTTCAAACTGGGAGTTAGAACGTGTTGAAACATACATACTCAGATCTGATTGAGGTAATTATCTTGTGTTGCCGCTACACTGGCTCTTAATGAAGTGTTTCATATTCAGAGCGATGGATCTGGAGACCATTGATCACAAAAGTTTTTCCTCCTTTAAGTTGTAACACTTTTTCATTGTTGGGTTGGAGTTGAAAAGAACTGTGCTTCTGTCTCTGGGAGAAACAGAGTAAGTGTGATTGGTTGTATCCAGATTGTTGCATTCGATGTATTTCTTTCTCTACAAGTCTCCATGAATCTGTCTGGCTTATTAAACTGGCCCTGTACAGGAAATCCAGGTCACGTCTTGTTCAAATCTGTATTCTGGCAATTCTTGGGTCATCTCTGACCTGGTTGTTTGACGTGACCAGAGTTAGAAGCAGAATTAGAAGCAGACTGATTCCACACAGGGTTAACCAGTCTTCCCCTCACCTGTTTCCTCCTCTGGCATCAGGGGTTTCTGTGGTTTTTGGCTCACTTTTCAAATCAAACCACACAGCTTTGATATTCCTCTCTCGCCCTCGTCCATTAAAATCCTGTTTTTCAGAGTACAGCCTCGCCCCGGGGCAGAAGGCTTATTCTGTGCCAGTCGATGTCTGGACGGTATTGTAAAGTCCATCCGGCTGGGCTGTATTTGAAGGGCTCAGTGCCAAAACAGGACATCCATCTTCCAGTGGAAAAACTGACGCTTGTAAATGCTTTAGTTAGAGTGTAAGGTTTCCTTTTTAAAACTTAATTTAGGGGAGCAATAGTAGCTGAGGATGTTTTCTTTTTTTACGCAGAACTCAGCTTCACATTCAGACAGATCCAAGATTTCACACCTGAGAGCTGTGAAGTGCAAACACAGCCTTCTACTGCTGTTTTTGTGTTTTTACTATGAGTTCATTGATAAAATTCACAGTGAATCCATATGTTTTACATTGAAACTTCAGTTGGTAGGGAAAATATGTTAAGTAGCAGGTGCAAGGCCTCAAAATATCCGCAAAATATTGTATCTGTAGTTTCCCCTTCTATTATTAGAAGAGTGTGTTGGTGTAAGTGAAGTCACCAGATACTTCTCAAAGTCATTCATTGTGGAGATCCCCTCGACCTTTCCTCAGCAACAGGAACCTTGTTGTTTCGGGAGAGTGCTTTCTTTGGGAGGAGGCTTCCCGGGGAAATGTCCTTTCTCTTCTGTCGACCGGGCAGATCTCTTATCGGTGCGAAGCTGCTGCTGCTGGAGCGATGGACCGAGGCCAAAGCACAGGGCTTCCTCCTGAAGGGATAGAGAGCAGAAAGGAAAACACCTGTTTCAGTCAACAGCGTGCCAAGTGTGTCAGAATGACTGCAAAGAGATGTTCAGGGAGAGACAGGAAAGACAGTTAAGGCTTTATCATGTGAAGGAACTATTAGAGTCCCAACCAAAACTGAGATGTCATCAGGGCTATCTTGAGTTACGGTGCATTTCCACCAGATTTGACAACGGAGGACCACTAAAGGCTTCTTTTCAATTCCAATAAAGAGCAAGAGAAGCAGGTGCACAATGCAGGGTGGGTGTGTTGCAGTGAGTTTGGGTGAGGGATTGCAGTACATTGGCTGGTCTGTATTTGTGTAGGGTAGACTACATTTAACTTTATGCAGCACGGTGCGGTTGGGTCACGAAACGTTGACTAAACGGCCAAACTAGGCAATGTAGTTCTCAAATAGAATAAGATACAGCAGTGGCATTGCGTATTTCTCACCAAAAATGTTTTCCGAAATAGATTTTGGTGGATTGACCAGTGGTTCCCAACTAGTGGGTTGCGGGCCAGAAGTGGGTTGCAGGTCCATTCTCAATGGACCACAAGTGACTAGCAAACGTGAAAAGTTTGTAAAAAACACACTTTATATATGAAGTACAGTGAATTTCTGGCACAAGCTTTTATTTTGAGTGAGTGACTTAAGGCCAAAACACACCAGCGGCGTCATATGACGGCGGCGTCATTGACTTGATTCAAGTGCCGCCCCAAACACACACAAAAAGCATCACGCTGTGGGGCGTCAACCGGATTTGTATTGCACACTCCAGTCCGCTAGGCTGGGAAGTACAAAATAGCGTTTTTTCAAAGGCAGCAACGCTGGAAAAATAGGACAATAGCGCAAAGTGCTGCGGTGCGGCACATCGACGCACGTCGAGCCGCTGCCAGTGTGGGTTTGTAAATAGAAAATAATGGGGGCGGCTGTTTTGACACGCGTCGTACAGCACCGGTGTGTTTTGGCCTTAACAAACAGCTACTTAACAGAAACAGCAAACTAGCTCGACAACATGGCCAAACACAAGTATTACGCTGAATATGTTAAAATTTGTGGACCTTGAACGAATCACTAAGGAGAAATCTGGACCCTGTGGCCGGACCAGTTGGGAACCATTGGTTTAGATAGAAATATAGAAAGTTTATGAGCAGGCCGCCATGTTGTTTCCTGTTTGAAGCGACCAGCAGAGAACCAAGGACCTCCCAACTAGCAGCGTGTATGTCCAATCAGGTGCATTCCACAATAGGGTATATCACCAGTGAGAAACCCACCGAGCGGCCAGATGAGTGGGGCAATGTGTCCTCTAGCGTCCTTGCCGGATCTGGTGGAAATGTAGTCTTAAGCTTGAGACTCCAAATATTGAACAGTTGCTTTATTGGAAATACAAGATCAAGTGATGTTGAAACCTGACTCTTCCTAAGGATTAAAAGTCAGGGTAGCTTGGCCTCTGCTTCGATTTAAACCTTTTTTTTAACCTGTTTTACACAAGTCCTTATAACTGCACAATGCTACACGACCCCTTTATTCTTACATTATGCATTCTGCAGCAGCTATCTTTACATTTATCCAACACCTTTCGTCATTCATCATCATCATCATCATCATCATCATCATCATTCCTTTCCCTGTTGTATTTTTCTCTGTATTAAAACATAAAACAATACACAAAAACTTCCCCCATGTTGCCATTTTCAGACCCATAGAACAATGGAGACCTTTACATATATACAAATATACACTGAGTGGACAGTTACACCTTTTATGTATGTAGATGCTGCAACACTAGAAATGCAAATCCAAAAAACCCCCTTCAGACCATTTCAAACATACAAACACACCTTGCACATACGCATTCATGCTCACAGTGACGTAAGGAAATCACACCTGGAGAGAGAGTAAAGAGAGTTGTGGCAGGATGTAGAGAACTGTACTTACCTGCTTCCTGTGGATGTAAACATACAGTATGAGTGTGTGTGTCTCTTTGATTTCTACCATAAGGGGATTACAGGGTGTTTACGTGATGTGTATTACAACACGCTCAGAAGGTGTTGTGAAATGAGAGCACACTAAGCAAAAGCCAATGCAGATAATTCAGTCAGACATGAATAACTGACAGGTGATGGTTGAGTTTATGCAAATAAAACAACTAACCATGAAGTGCTTTTTTCACCCATTAACCACATAATCACTCAGGGTTGTTTACCTTCCAACAGCAGTCACATTCATTATCCAAGATACTGCTGTGTTTGCCAAACCCATAAAAGCCTCTTCTCTTGTGCACTGTTTCAAAATATGATCAGCGAAACATAAATCTTACCTCTGGCTCCTCCAACCTCTGGGCTTTTATTTATCACACTTGTAATATTAGGACTAAGGAGCTCTACTGCAATACAAGCACAGTGCTGTTTGTTTATCTGCATGTCTTCTACATGGACCATCAACAAGATGTTTGGAAACATTTAAAAGTTAGCCAATTACAGCTTTAGCTTATTTGGCTACCTAGCTACAGCTAATGAAATCTGCTAGCAACCGGCTAGAAACAAGAGGCTGCTTCTGTCTATCTGCACCTAAAACTAAGGACCCATTATTTCAAATGTCATCACTGTAAACTAAATATATGCTGTGCAAAGGTGGAGAGGTTGACAGTTAAAGCACAGTAGATAAGGTGGGCACAATTTAGCAAGTGGTCCATTGAATCTAGATCCTTGTAGTTAAAGATGATTGTCTTTATCTACTTCCCCTGACATCACCATCCTTACTGCTGGACTTCTGTGTCAAACCTCTTCCTTTCATCTAGTTGTGTCTCCACTAGGGATGCACAATATTAGATTTTTTGCCAATATCGGATATGCCGATATATTACAACTTATTTGGCCAATAACCGATACAGATATCGATATATTCACTTTTTTCACTAGCTAATTGTAGTGATCATAACGTCTCCTCTGTAGTGGAATTAACATCATATTACACATACATACCCTTATCGTGACTGCCCACCCCTTATTCATTGTGCAAAATTAGAAAAAGCACGTTGGCTGATTCTGGTACTTAATTTTAAGGCCAGTATTGTCTGAAACCAATGATGTACCAATATTACCAGCATATTTGCAGATTCAGATATTTCATTTTAAGGCCAGTATCGGCCGATACAGATGACGTGCTGATATCTTGCATCCATTGTCTCCACCCAAACTTTTTCTTTCCTGATCTGATTCTGTTCTGAACTGATCTTTCATCCAGTTTGGTGCAACCATGCCGTGTATTAGGGCTATAAATCACAAGTTTTCTCACAGTACGATGTCATATAGATTCTTTGGATTGGACCATGCAATATTTGTTGATATCACAAAGTCTGCTATGATATGATTTCAATTCAGTTCAATTCTGGGGCCTGCAGTTGATAACAGAAGATATCTTTGTCTTTTTCTTGTCTGCTTGGTGCTATGGCGTTAGCACTGTTTGAATGTTGAGGAATGTGGTGTGCTTGGAAGGAAGTAGTGACACAGACATGCCATTAGATGTGTCATCGATTTTCTCTGCATTGATAATATTGGATCATTTATCATTGAATTGATGTATCAATCCAGAGCGATGTATTGTTATGCGTGTAGTGTTTCTGCCATATTCTTTTTATTAATACAGTAACATCTCCTCTTCTCTCTCCTCTCTATTCCAGGGGATGGCAGACAGACATAGACGGGTTGTGATCAATCCAAACCCGCTGCCGCACATCCACCAGGAGCCCACCGTGCTGCTGTGCGTGGGCCTCCTGCTTCTAATGATCGGACGGATGATCTACTTGCAAGGCAGTACGAACAGCCAGAACCACTCTCAGGTTTAGCCTTTGGAAAACCCAGCAGACGTAGCATCGTTATTATTTTTTTCCTGAAATAATGTATCTATGTTGGATCCTTTTTGTTTTTTGGGACCTAATTTTTGTCCTCCTTTCTCTCCTTTCCCCGTTGAGAAAGGACACTTTGGACTCTGTTCATGTTCATTTTGATGGATTGGTAACCCCTTTAAGGAACTCTAAAATGCCTGGATGTTTGTTTTTTCACCTCTGTTTGTCCTTCACAGTCTCTGAGCCTTTGCGTTGCTACCAAAGAGCCGGGATTTTGCACTCCTTTCCAGCGCAGGGGCCGTCGTTTCACCTAAATTTGCCTCTGTGCAAAATTACGCCTGTGGAACTTCAAATGTGCCTTGTACAGTTTCCTGTTTACTCGTTTAGTTTTTTAGCTTTTAGCTTGTAATTGAACAGAGATTATGAATTCCTCGGGTGATCAACTCCACAGACCCAGGGTTGTAAAAGTACGTGGGTCCAATCTGCAAAACTTTCCCCCATCTTTCCCCTCTGATGGTTTCAGGCAAGGAAAAATGATCTTGCACTCCTGTAACATCCGGATCCAGCATGCAACAGACTCTGGGCCAAAGTAACCACTTTTATCCAGCTTTTTTATCGAAACTACTTTGCCATGTAACACTTTGTTACCATGAATTACATGTCTGCTTATGTCTACATTGTCAGTTAATAAGAGTTGACTGTATGGCAGGATTTACAGCCACAGAAATGACTTTGTGTCCAGATATTCTGAGTACTAATTGAAACAGGTATTGACTGATTCATCATCAGATTTCATGACAGTTCTGTATTTTGCAGACCCCATTTGGGCAGGATTCATTTTCCAGGGAGAGGTGAGGTGGTAATAGAATATTTGCCGTGGTCCTCAGTAACAAAACTTCTTGTTCTGGGTGGCAAGTTACAGCATTTGGACTTTAAAAGATGGGAACATTCGAGGGGAAATTTAGAGAAAGCAGATATTTGCAAGCAAGTGTTTGGGACTGTAAATAATTTTCAAGGAGGGGAGAAAACGTGCACTCTGGACTGATCAGCACACACACAATTTGCCCAACTTTCCTGACAGAAATGAATCCTGTCCTGCACTTGTCTGCATCAGTGATAAAGTGTCCATTTTGTTTTATGTGTCATAATTCAAAACCCTGTGTCAAGGTTTAGCAGCCGTCCTGCTACCACTTGGTTTATATGTAATCAGGTAATCTGTAATCAGGATTATTTTCCCTTCAAAGGTACTTTTAGTAGATGCACCAATCCTGCAACTTTTTAAAAACGTAAGAACACATTTCTTTGAATTTCAGGAAGTTAAGTTTCCACAAATTATTAGCAGCCTTTCCCTGTGTAAAAAAACCTGTGTGTTTCTGTAACCACTAGATCCAGATCTAATGGTGATTTAACATTATATTTCCAACAATTTCAGAATCATTTTTATCACAAAATACAGTCTTTTAAAAAAAGCATTAAGGGGCACCATTTCCCTCTTTGCTCTGGTTGTTTTCAGCATTAACACAAACAATTTGCACGTTAGTAATCAAATGCAGGAGCAGAATGCTTCACTTGTTATACAGTAATAAGTTTTAAGTACCTGTTACTGAGCTGCCCAGTTGGTGGATTGAAATACAGAAGAGCAAGATGATGAACAAATCAATCATGAGATAATGTCAATCATATAAACCTTTAAACAGTGTCATTTCCTGCTTTCTAGTTTACTCATTTTCTACATTTTACATTTACAAACCTTTATTTAACCTTGTTTTAATATTCAAAGCCTTTTCCTAAGTTTCCTAAGTGATCAAACAGCACTGTCTTTCACCGTTCTTTGTTTCAGCCTCTGGATTTAACATTAGCAGCCGGACTGAATGTATCTGGCAAGTATTGGTTTGTTGACAAGGTCACGTTATCCGTTTATTAGCCCAGTGATTCAGACCTGGCCAAGTCTCCTCATGCCTGCCAGGTCATTAAACACTCTCAGAGAGAGATTTCTGGACGACAACCAAACATTGAATCATGCAGAGTCAAAGAGGGTTTTGTCACTGACTGTTAAGCCAACAGTACCATATCAAATAGCCGCGATACAGACTTCCGATTAAGTACATTTATTCTTATCTTTAGGCTTATTAACATACCGGTCTCATTGTCATGTGATGAACCACCAAAAGTAGGCCATTGTTTTTGTATCTTTTAGGTTTTGGGTTAGTAAAATGCATGTAACCACTCACAGCTCATTTAAACAGAACCAGAATAATAATAAACAGCGGATTAGCTTGTGAAAGTGTGAAAACCTTTTATGCAAAAACTATGAAATGCCTGTTCCTTTGTATGCAGAAATATCAAAGTTAGGTATTTGAATATACAGTTGTGAAGAAGAATTGTGCAAGAAAGTATTGGGGCGAAGCACCTTATCAGACCATGAAACATGTTTAGCATGTCTCCTCTATAAAATGTCAGGGAGGCAGTGGAGGTTGGGAAGATAATCAGATTTTCATTTGCCAAACCAACCAGTTAATTCTCATCATTGAAGCCTTTTTTTCTTTCAAAACCAAAACATCCTGTTTGAGAACACTTTCGACAAAGCATACGCTTCACCTTTGTGAGGCTTTTCCAAGTTTGTTTTCTACTTTTTTTTTTTTTAATTTTAAATGTGATGTTTGTCACATAAACAGCACATTCCACAGTCCATTAGGAGTTTTCCAAATTTAGCATTATTTAGCAAATTTAGCATGAATTTAGCATTTTCCAATCATGACATGAAGGATATGTCGGTATTATTCGGGGTATAATAGCAATATTTTGGTATATATATTCAAGGCATTCAGAATATGCGTCTCAACTGGAGTTTTTACCGTAATTTGCAACACGTGGCCCCTTGTCTGTTTACGCTCAACTCTGTGTGTTGTCATGGATACAGGCTGTGTTCGCACGGTCCGACATGTGGCCACAGTGGAAAACATTGATGCAAGAAGCAAAAGACAAGCCACTTCAGCCACGCCACTTCTCTTTATTTTGACATGATATACGTCATGTTAGAGCACATCAATTGGAGCATGCAGGGCTGCGTGTAAACAGAAGTATTAGTGGAATATCCGTTTTCATCAGACATGTAAGCAACTTAGTAGGAATATTGTCTTTTTGGGAATAAGGGCAAAGAACAGATTATTTTTATTATTATTTTTTATTTTGTAGTCATTGTTGCCCCTTGTGCCAGTTATTACAACTGTGGTTTTCACTGACCGTCATTACAGTGGTTACTTTCTGCTCTCCGGCCTCAGGGGGCAGTAATGACCTTGTTACGCTTGGTGCACCAGAACGAGGCAAAGAAGACATCGCCACACAAAAGTGAGATTTATAATTATTTGGACATTTTTTCAAACTGCATTTTTTAGGTTTTACAAGAGAACAGAACTTGAGTCCAAACTGGTTGGTTTGTCGATTGTACATCTAGTTAACTTCCCACCTCTGTTAAAGAGCAGTGCACAGCCGCATCCCTGAGCTTTTCTATGGAGTCATCATGGACTGTTGCCCAAACGGCAACCCCAACTTGGTCTGGGTTTGCCATGTTGCAAGTGCAGTGTGAATGTTGAGCAAACAAATTTGTGCAAAACCATTGTTTTCTGGGTTGTTTTAGATGGTACAAATGAAATGTCACCATACCGTATGTTGTTTTGATCGATCATCAGCTGCAGTGAGTGTTTTCTTCAGCTTGACTGGAATAAAAATGGAAATGTAATTTTTCTTTTTCATGCTCCACCAATATCTTTCAGTGTCAGAAAAGCAGTTTGACTGAGATTTAAGTATAATGTTATTCACATTTAATGCATTTAAAGCTTTACTCTTCAGTGGAAGTTTATCTGTTTCCAATGAGTGTCGGCAGCATTACAGATCCTGTGTTGTTATGTGTGTTACACGTGTTTGATTTAATCTTCTAAAACTAATTAGTTCCATCATGGTTGCTCGCTCACGGTGAGGTTACCCACCAGCAAATCAGAGCAGCAGTTTGTTGTAACACAATTGATAACCAAATTCATCTGCGTCTGTGTTTGAGTCATGCTCAGATGTTTGCACAGTTGTGTCAACACCAGTGCATCACAGACAAAGTGTGATTTTGGCTTTCATCATCTTTAAACTCTCATTTCAGAAACTCTCATCTGTTTAGTCTCATCTTTAATCTTGTTAAATTAGCTGTTCAGCCACAAAGTGTCATTTCCAAGCTCCTGTGATGAGGTGATGGATTAGCATCAGGCTGTCTAAGCTTGTTGACATTTGTTATTGCAAGCATAATATGAAGTGTAAAGACATGGGCGATTAATTTCAGTGAATAACATCAACAGATGAAAATTTTATAGAAATCTTTAAAAATTGTCCTCTCATGACATCAGCCTCACAGTAACTGTGTCCAGGACAGAAATCACAAAGTTACCAGCTGTGAACATGGATTAGACACCCAAGTGCTCAAATTGACATCTGAATCAGGCGAATCAAAAGTGATATTGGCATAATGGAGGGATTACTGACCAGGCCTACTGGGCACAGGCATTCTTGGACCAGAACTTCAGTATGATGTCGTTCAAACTACAAAAAGATCGAAACAACCACAAAACGATGCAAAATGACCTCAAAAAGACCCAAAACAACCATAAAGAGACATAAAACGACTACAAAATAGCCACGGAGGCAAAAAAGACAATAAAGAAACACAAAACAATTTAAAAGAGACACCCCAAACACATGCAAAACGACTACAAAGAGACTCAAAACGGCCACAAAACAACTACAGAGACTTTAAAATGTCACGAAGAGACACAAAATGACTACAAAGGGACTCCAAATGGCCACAAAGAGACAAAACAATTTTAAATAGCGTCAAAATTACCCCAAACACAGACAAACGACAACAAAGACTCCAGACACAAAAAGACGCAAAATGACTACAGAGGGACTAAAAGTGGCCACAAAGATAAAATGACAAAAAAGACACTCAAAATGACCACAAAGAGACTCCAAATGGCCACAAGGAGACTCCAAATGGCTACAAAGAGACTCCACATGGCCATGAAGTGACTCCAAATGGCCATAAGGAGACACAAAACAATTTCAAATAGCGTCAAAATTACCCCAAACACAGACAAACGACTACAAAGACTCCAGACACAAAAAGATGCAAATTGACTACAGAGGGACTCAAAGTGGCCACAAAGAAAGATAAAATGACAATAAAGAGACTCAAAATGACCACAAAGGGACTCCAAATGGCCACAAAGAGACTCCAAATGGTCACAAGGAGACACAAAACAATTTCAAATAGGCTCAGAATTTCCCCCAAACACATGCAAAACGACTACGAAGAGACTGAAAATGACCACAAAGAGATTCCAAATGGCCACAAAGAGACACAAAACAATTTCAAAATTAGTCCAAACACAGACAAAATGACTACAAAGAGGCTCCAGCCAGAAGAGACACAAAATGACTACAAAGGGACTCCAAATGGCCACAAAACGACTACAAAGAACAGCCACGACAAGACAAAATGACTCCGTAGAAAATTGACATGACCACAGAGAGATAAAACGACAACAAAGAGACTGAAAATGACTGAAAAGATGGCTACAAAGGGACACAAAACGACTCCAAAGGGACTCAAAATGGCCACAAAGAGACATTAAATGACTACAAAGACCTGCACAGCGGCCACAACGAACACAAAACAACCATTAGGTTTTGTCAGTGTTTTACAGTGAGGGATCTTTGATATGTCTGTGTCCAGGGGCCCATTGTCTCATAATCTGTCCATGGCTCACTGCTATTTAGGATAAATTAAAAAGGAGCAACTCATAATGTATGTTGTTATCTTATATCAGAATATTTTAAGTCCTTAAATTGAAATTCATTCATTCATTTGAAGCCACTTTGTCCATTTTTCCTTCACTGGTCAATGAGAAAAGTGTGAAACTGAAAGAAAGAATACTCCTTGTATCTGTCATGACCTCATTTAATTTTCATGACATTGTATCAAGACATCTAGTTGTTTCTTCCTCACCGAATCATTTCTTCCTGGAAATGCACGTCTCAGGCTCATCCTGTGCTCCAAATGTACCCGCTTTGTCTTTCCCCCCCGCTGTGACTGCATGTTGATTTCTGATAATGTGCCATCTTAAACCTAAGACCTCATTCTGACGTACTGTATAACAGCTGGAGTGTGAGAGGAGAGCAGGGCAGGGAGGAAACTGAAAGATGAATTGAATTCTGAAACTGATATGGAAACCTGGTGATTCATCGTCTGTCATTTGTAGGTGTTGCAGTACAGAAACAGTCGCGTGACATTCAGGGTTTTACTGACTGGCATCAACGCTGCTGGAGCCGCTTCAGCAAATCACTGCAGATTTATGTTTGAGCTGTTCGGATTTATACCACAGGAGAATCACCCAATGTCTAATAAACATGTATACTCAGTTTTTTTAATTGGAATTGTTAAAACAAGACAAAACATGAAATGTAGGGAACACAGAGACACTGTGGTGTGTTGTGCTTTGCTGCAAATGCTGTACAGAAATGCATCTGTTGGAGCCTGTTTGTGAAATGGAAACAAACTAATCTGAACGACTCCAAATGACCCAGTACAACTGTAGCAATATGGTGTCTTTTTTTGTTGGTGTCTGTTATTGTACACTGAAAATATTGTAATTATGCTGTTTTAATTGCTTTCAAATGCATTCAACTGTTGTAAATAAACTTTTCCATCTTTTTAATACTGTATGAGTGATTTATAAATCCCTGCTTTGTCAACAGAAACATGTTATTCAGTAGAGGAAAGGAAGTAATGTACTTATCAGAAGGATCAGCAGAAGGATATATTGTAATTTTTACTCCACTGCATTCATTTAACATTACTTTTTAACACTACACTACATTTTCACAGTTAGATGAGTCAGTTCTTCATTTGATACAAAGGAATATAAAGGCTTTCGATGCAAAAAGTCAACCAATATGCTGATGATGTTTCTTTAAAAACTAAAGTTGAGGGAACTCTTAGCAGTATTGAGTCACTTCATTATTTAAGGTAAAAAAAAACAACTACAAGTCAGAAGAATATTTAAACTAAGTCTCTAAAAAATGTCTCTAAAAATGTAAAAAATAAATACATAGTTTTTTGAATAATTTAAAATATAAAATAACAATTTATTAAGTTAATGCTAAAAGATTAGTTGATTCCACTAAACTCCTGCTTGATGTTTTACATTATTTCTTTACTTCTACTTTTGAATGCAGGATTTTTGCTTGTGTTTGCATGTTGTGGTTTTATGGTTTTGACTTCAGTGAGGGGTGTGAATACTTCTACCTATTAACATGGTAAAAAATCAGATATTACAAGCAACAAATACACTATACCATGAACTTCATGTCCTCAGTTTTCCTTTTAAAGATTGAGCTTAACCAAATATTTTAAGAATATGGAGAAAAAAAATCATACATTTAAGGTATTAAAGGGAGAAACACAAATATTTTAGTGTCTTGTTTGAATTTATGTAAGGCCCAGCAGCACCAGCGTCACAGTTCAGTTCAGGTCAGTGCACTTTGTCAGCATAAAAGTTCATTTAAGAGAAATGAGGACAGATTTTTTTTTGAGTTGCTCTGTCTGAAGCCGACTCTCTCTTGTTTTTTTTTTTCTTCCCTTCCTCCTGTCCTCTTTGCATCTGTGTGTGTGTGTGTGTGTGTGTGTGTGTGTGTGTGTGTGTGTGTGCGCTCATCTGCAGGACACGGAAAGTACGGTGCCTTCCACGGCTTGGCACAAACACATGCTCAGATAATTATATGTCTTGCACACACACAGGCGCACACACGCACAAACACAACTCATTAACACACATACACACGAGCATAAATGGCTCCTGCGTGCGCGCACACACACACACACTCACACACGTGTGCATGAGTCAGAGCAGCGGTCCAGCAGGGTGGATTCCTCCATCTGCAGAGAAAGAGAGAAGTAACAGTTTTAACCCTTTGTGGTTTCAAGGTGAGACGACAGAGACAGTCTCATACTGCAGGTTTTGCTTTTATTTCAAGTCCAGTGTGACCATTTTGTGCTACAGCATACAGATCTGATTTGTAAATATAATGTGGTGTGCACTCTTTTGAGAGAAAAATAGCACTACCCATAAAAGAGACATTTTATTTTGTATTTTTTGTGCAATGACAGCTCCCCCTGTCTGTCCCCATGGCTAATCCCTCATTTAGCATTCACACTACATACACATGTAAAATGGTTTATAACACACTGTAATATGGTTGTAAGCGGATATGAAGAAATTTTAAGTATTTAATAATGTAAAGTATTTGCCAACAATTATAACTTCTCATATCAAGACATATTTTATATAATTAAAACTGTGATTTATTATGTCTATTATTATTGGTTCATTCACCAGCCTCCGATCATAGGTCCCAGGAAGAGTTACATCTGCTTACAGCTACATTACAGCATATTATAAACCATTTATGATGTGTTTATGTACTGCTTAGAAATGCTAAATTTAGCTGGATCAAAGTACAGCGTCACCTCCTCCTCGTTACTTAAATAGCCCATCCAGTTCAAATGTTCACTCGATTAAGTGGGCGTCATTACTGGTTATCAGCATCATAGATATGGTAAGAAGGGGTCAGAGAGCTGTTATCAGCATATTAAGTGGTGTTTATTGTTGTGCAATGACGAAGGAAGGCAGCTGAAGT